TTTGAAAAAACAAAACTACCGCATGAAATCTGGATGACCACGGTGTAGTAGGTAAACCGACTTGATGGAAAAGTTTTTAAACAGTTATTCGTTTTGGAGTTTGGACAGTACTGTGAAAGCGGGTTAAATGGAAATCCGATGTTTGTTTTGCAATTTCAACGGTTCCAACAAAAAAAAAACCCTCGGGGAAACGGCTATCGTATGACGTTCGATCAAAGTCAATTTTTAATTTTTCCAAGTACAGACCACAGTATGTTTTCGGCCCTAATGTGTTGGCCAAAACGTCGACAGAGGGACCGAGCATAAAAAACTTACCTAGAATTTCGACGGGGTTCACAGACTGTTCTTCGAAATTGTCGCTTTTAAATTAATTATATTATAATCCCCTTACTCGAGTACTAGCCAGGGTGGGCAGATTACAGGTGGTTTCGATTACATACCGAGTTATTAATAAATAACGATTATGTTACAAGTTCTTATTATGTCATTGTCTATACAACGGTACATCTTAATTAGAATAGTTAAATTAGACCAGAAACAAAAATTGTAAGCCAATGATTAACGATAAAGGCAACCGGAGGCTACTCCTTGAAAAATAGCTTTAAGGGTATTGTCAAATCGGTAGTTGTACTTATTGTGAGACCGCCCTGCGAACTGGGAACCGGTTTTTTTTGTAAATTATTGTGAATAAACGATGTTGGGCTGGGAAGGAAGCAAAGTGAAAGCGTTCCCCTCCCAGCCTGGACAATTCAGAGATGCAAAAAAAAAGGCACTGGGAAAATGACTGTAAAAAATCCTGGAAAATAAAATATTAATAATTAATAACAATAGTTATAAATATATTGTAAAAATAATTTATTCTTTGGTCTTAATGATTTGAACGAATACCATGATTTATCTACAATTTATGTTTAGTTTTAAGAATTTTTATTTCAGTCACTAGGATTCTTTTGTGGTCCTAGGTTTTTCGAAATTTAATATCGGCTGTGCTCGGTAGTCGCCTAAAACGACTTTGTGGAAAAATTTTAATATCATACTGTCGATGTCAGTGCGAGTAGCGGCGGGTTCGGCGGCAAAACCGGTTGTTGTTGAGTCGTACAGCGAAGGTTGAACCACGGTGGCACCGTCCCCGCGATCGCACGGTTTCCGAACGACGTCCCATTGCGGCCGGGCTTGAGCGGGCAACGAGCGTTCGGACTCGTAATCTTCTGCGGCCGCGTCCGGGTTGGCGCTCAAGCCGCACGGACAGAACAGTTCGCAGCGGGACGACGATGACGACGATTGCGCCGACGGCCGAACAATCGGAGACGGTTGACACGCAAACGGCAGCGGCCTGTTGAAGTCGTAGCGATAGTCGTCGTAACTGTCGTACGACCTGTTTTCGGCGGACTCTTCGCTCGGTTCGGCCACCAAAGACGACGGCCTCGGCGGACGCGAGACGCCGGCCACGGCAGAAGGCGTCCTGAACGTCTTAGGCCGTTCAGTGAGCGACGCCTGCATACGTCTCTCACGGTCGCGCAACACTCTTTCCCGAGTTTTCTTGTCGGCCGGCGGCTTGGCCCACGACACGTCGAAACGGACGTCACTGCCTTCGACGGTGGCGCCGTCCAGCGCGTCCATGGCCGCCTTGGCGTCGTCCCGCCGGGAAAAGTGCACGAACGCGAAGTTCTTGAGCGTCTTGACGCGTTCCACTCGGCCGTACCGGCCGAAAATTTCGGCGAGGGCCCGTTCCGTCAAAGGAAGCGGCGTCTGTCGGACGAACAATATGCGCACCGAGCGCATCGTCTCCTCGTCCAGTTCCGGTTCCGGGTCCGCCCAGTCCACGATGGTCTTGCAACCGAACACCGTGCACCGGCTCAGACGGTCCTTGGCCTCGGCCGCCTGTGCCGGCGTCTCGTAGTCCAGGAAACAGAAACCGCGGTGCATGTCCGGGTCGTCCAGGCTCTTGTACGTGATGGCCCGGATCAGGCCCGGTGCCACCGTTCCCACCTCGGCGCAAATGTCCGACTCGGATTTCAGTTTGGGCAAATTGCCCAGAAACAGCCGCGTGCCTGGTTCCGAATCGATCACCTTCATGGCGATTTTCAAACGACAAAAATATACTCAGAATTTAGATGGAAACACGACAGCCAATTAAACAACACCACACGACGGCACGTACAGAAATATTATTTTGTAATTATTTTGACATCACTTCGGACACGTTTCTTAACAACGAATTCGACGGTTTGTTGAGCAATACTGACCCGTCGTTAAAACCGAATCGTCAATAATAATTGAAATATTTTCACCATTTTCTACGTGGCCAGCAACTTAAACCGCTTTGCGGCGGAATTTTACTATATAAATACATTTGTACATAAACAACAGGCACCGTATGCGGTCGTTTCGAACCATGTCCTCCGAGTGATAAATAAAATATGAAAAACTACCCTGAAAGAGATACCCCCAAAGGAATTACCGCCGAAACTATGCTGTGTCTATTTTTTTAGACCGGATTTTACCAAAAACCGTCCACCGTGTAATGCTTGGTTTACGGGTTGAGTAAGCGATCTGTCTAGAACATCAAGAAATGTCTAGAGGTCAGTCGGTTAAAATACCGAATGGGCGGTAAGTGACAGGTGTATGTGAGTGTATGAAATGAATAGTATTTGTCGGCTACGGGCTTGACAGAGGCACAAACTTAGTATAATATTATCCTTTTGTAACCCCCAAGATGTTAAAAATTCATAGATAGTAAATATAGACAAAATATATATAGATGATAAATATTGACAAAAGTCAATAGGTTACGCCATCTATGATTTAACGTGCGTACCAATTTGTTCAATAGTGTGTTAAGATAGCGTCGCACCACCCATTTTTAAGGAGTAAAGTATAGGCAATTTTTTGTAAAAATCTTTATTTAAAGGTTAAACTGTGATGTGCAAATATTAGTTCAATAACTAGGACTCTATGTTGGTAGTTAATTTATTTTATGGACTATCACAGCATCCTTGAATTGGACGATTTTCAATGGAAAAATAATTAAATGTTCATGGTAAATACAATAACGACCCTCTCTCCGATAACTTGCATGAACAAAATTCTAGTCACAATAAATTACAAATGGAATATTTGATATATTTTTTTGAGAACGCCTATTGCCCTCCCTCCTTGTATCCGCCCTTGCATCAGTATAAGATGTGTTACGTGTCATGTGATTGAAATGAATAAGGTAATGTAGTATAGTTATTTCTTATTTGGATGAAATAACCTCGTACATATTTTATGTCAATAATGTATAAAAATTAAAAAACACAAATTAGCTTAGCTTAGGAGTATAAAATTAAAAATGTATTGTTTTTAGATGTGGACAGACAATTTATATTCAGTATATTAAATAAATAGTTATTATTTAAAAAGACATTTTTGATCATAATACATCATTATTTTAATAATAATTAAACTGTTTTTATTAATCCATGTATATTAATGTTTCTTAGATAGGTAACTAAATATTTTTTTCCTAGATAATTAAAATAAAACTTAAAAAGAATCGGGAATCATCATTTGGATCTCTATTGCATATATTGTTTTCAAAAATTGTACCAAAAATATTTCAATAATGCTCAGGTCTGAACTCAGGTACAGGTTTGGAAAAAGTTAAATAATGTGAAACACAATTTTTAAAATTTATCATAAAAAAAACTTCAGGTTTATAAAATTAAAAATGTATTGTAATTATATCTACCTATTTAGTTTTCTACATGGTTTTTTATTTATTTTTCGGTCTTATCAAAATATTTTAAATATAAATATGTGCAAATACCAATTTATTATATTATCATATTATATTTATCATATAATAATATGGATGTGGACAATTAGATTTTATATAAATAGGTAATACTTACATTTATATTTAAAAAATATGTACTTAAATAACAAATTATTATAATATGTAATTAATATATCTAAGGCATTGAATAATAAAACAATACATTTTAAAATAATAGTAATGGATCTAGTTTGTGTGAAATATTATTATGTTGTATATTGAAATATAACATAAACATTTGATAACTATTTCATTATTTATGGAAAGATATATTTATATATATATATCTTATATTAATTATTCACTCCATCCTACTTATATCTGCCAAATTATTTGTTTTGTCAGTTGTCTACAATTATGTTTACTTATTACCTATATATATTTATACCTAAGACTATAGTATGTAATTTTTAAGTTTCGGAAAAAATACAATTTTTAAAAGATAAAAAATAAGTAAAGTTATATATATTTAAATTTAAATCTGAGTTAACAAATGTATGAATTATAATTCATTTTCAAATAAAGTGAATTATTCATTAACCTAGAATAAAAATTGAAACATCATATATTTTTCCAAAGAATTTTACTAAACAGCAGCTAATCTTTTTTTACACCAAAGAAAGTAATTATATACTGCTACCTTTATTAAACTGGGTGTGAAGATGTACCTTAGCCATCTAAAAAAGTAAATTTCTAGTCGAGCATTTACCCAACTTGTATTTTTTAACGAAAAACAACAATGTATGTTCTTCATTTTTATAACAATAAAAAGGTTCAAGCTTGGTATTTAAATTTTATAAGTGTACATTTTTAATTAACCATTGTAGGGATGTGATTTTTTTTTAAATAATTTAATCAAGCAACAATGACTGTACAAAGTAACACAATATTATAACAGCTCATTTTATTTCGATAGTCTTTCGAATTGACAGCACAGAGATAAAAAATAACAAGAATTACTTATGATAATCCGATTGCTATATAATAATATGTATCTCATTCAGAAGAAATTAGGGTAATTATTATTGTTTGCGCGTTTTAAAAATAAATAAGCGTTTAAAGTTCCCATAAATGTGGTGAACAATAAGTAAAATATTGTAAAAGAAATAATATGCAATGCATTATTCGCAGATTGAAATAATTTCTGTTTTATTTTAGTACTATTATTGAACAAAAAAAAAAAAGATATAAACCCACTAATATAAGTGAAATTTCAAGAAAATCCATTATAACAACTTTATGTAACAAATAAAATAATAATTAAAAACATTTTAATTTCTAGAGTATAGCCTATAAAACAACTAATGGTCAATAGTAAATCAACAATCAACAGTATAGTTTTCAGTGTTGACGGACTATGAATTTTGTGTCCGAAATGAGGTAAACAGCGTCTGGCAAAGGTTTCGGCAAAGGAGACAGCAGAATTAGTCTTTTCTGTTTTGTACTCACGTTTATCCTAGAAATACATTTTTATTTAACATCAATTACCTTTAACTTCGAAAAATGTTTACTTACACACACACAAAACCTGCAATATTTGTCCTAATAATGTCTTCCTCAGTCGTTGTGGCAAAACTAACCGCTAAAATATGATACATCATGTTCCGATCTAAAAATTAGATTCAATATTAATGTTATGATATTATATTACATTACAAATAGATCAAAATATTATTTTATTTTTTTATTAGAATATTTTTAGAAATATTAGAATTATAGGTAAGAATGAAACAAATAAATTTTTACGGCAACAACGTAATAAGCAAAACGCTATTATAATTGTGTATTATAATCCTATAATACACGGTTGTAATTAAAAGAGTTAAGAAGAATTATTGTAATAAAAATAAATGCAGTTTTTTTAGGAAAAAAAAAACAATTTTTATTAATTATATTTATTTTACAATAACCCCAATTGATTCTTGATTCTATATTAAATAATTAAACAATTTATAACAATATTTAAAAAAAAATGAAATTTATACCATCATTAGTACCTACCATTACTTAATCTATGCATAGATCTTAAGGGAAAGTATTAACGGTTAACATTTAAACTTTTTTTTTATATACTGCTGAAGTATAAGTGATTAGTTTTGTATTGTATGGCACGTAATTGTATTTGGTCCAGATTAATTTTTTTTTTTAATGGTTTTTAACACTTTTTATATGAAAGTATGGCGTAAGCATGCCACCTTGGACTAAATTTGTAAATCCTGCCTATTGAAAATTTAGAAGTATAAATAGGATTGAAAAACCTGAAAATCTTTTAATTGTAGGCTAACCAGTCAATTTTACTCAACAATTATTTTAAAACTTATAAAAGAAGAAATTAAGGATTCCATATCATCTTGACCATATTATGCTCCTCCCTAGTTATGCCGTTATGGATTTCATACTTAAAATTGCTGCCCCTACGGTTCCCCTTGTGCCTCGAGCCGGCTCTGTTAAATACAATTTTAAAGGTTTGTATGTTTTACAAGATTTCTTCTTAATAATTTCAAAATTTTAAGTACCCTTCTCATAATATTCATAATTGTGGATAAAAAGTTAAATTACCTGGATTAACAAGCACAAGTGCTGGTTTAAAATCAACTTCACTAATTCCAAACACTTTAATATCCTTAAACTTTACACAACAGGTATATGGATAAAACTTGGTTTTAGGCTTGCTAAAAAAGTATTCGCGGATTCGATTTTCCATAGTTAAACGTCTCATTTCTTTACTTCTTACTGGCAACTGCAAAACAATAATATATATTTTTTTAATAAATTAAAATTTTTATATTTTATGACTACTGTTTTTATATTTTGATAAAACTAATTAAATATCATATATTGTTGACAACGTTGAACAGGTTCTTTTTAAATAACTATATTATTGCAATGTCACTCTAAGGCAAATCTGGAGGCTAAAACCATGGTAGTGGATAATTTTTTTAGCGGCAGCATTTTGTATCCTAGAATTGATAGTTTTAAAAACATATTGTAACTTTTTATCAATAGGTGATCTATTGTTGAATTTTGTTGTCGCTGTTGTGTTTAATTTACTTTTATTATTTTTTCTTTTGCATTCATGAGTAATAATGATAAAACGATTTTTAAAATATTAAACTGCTCCTAATGAGGAATACATTAATAAATATTAACAATTTGGAAACAATCATCGACAGGCTAGATAACACAATATAGTGGTCTGAACTTAAACAAATTTATTAAAATTGGACTTTACAAATTGGTTAGAGAAAAAAAAATAATTTTAAAAATAAAAATGTTTTTCAAGTACTTTTAATAAAATATTTTGGTACTGAAAACTTTTAATGTATTCTATCAACTATAAATTAAATTATTATCTAATAATTAAAAAATATGCTTCAAATAGAAACTGCAGGTTGAAAAAATAATATAGAAATGTACATATATATATATATATATATATATATCAAGGCATTGTTTTATTATTTTTTTCGTTTTTCTCATAAAAAAAAAGGTGACCTGAATTTTTAATATTATAATTAATACTTGCAAAACATTTTTAATGTTTTCGTTATTAGTAGGATTAGGTCAGGTGATTCTACTTAAACCAATGAAAATCGTTGCACAGAAAGAGATCATTTAGCTAGTAGTAGCGATTTTGTGAACATTTTCAAAACGATCCATGCTAAACTTGCGATATGTTAAATACTATACAGTTAAACCACAGGGCTTAACATCATTACACATAAAACAAATATTATAAGTAAAATATATGTTTAAAAAACAAATCTATTTATAAAATTACTTACCCAGTCGCTTTTGGGAAGATATAAAACTTTTACAAAATTAGGCATATCTTGTAATAGGTGGTCGTACAATTGGTCTTCATCTAATACAAGAATAACGTCAACTTCAAAAGCAAGAGCTATATGAGTCAGGGTGTCGTAATATTTCCCTTCAATCTGTCCACTAGTGTTGATGATTATTCCCGAATTATTTACTAAAAATAAAATTCAGAATAATTATTAAAAGGTATTTTTTATTGCTCCTTTACCAAAATGTAATTATTTTGAATATTTTTTAAAGTTTAAACAATAAAAATTAACTAACAGTTTTTTAAATAGACCATCATAGTAGTTTACTATATATTTTAAGTAATACAAAAGAATTTGTTTGAAAATCTAATGCTAATAAAATCATATGAAATGTTTTACTAATAGGATTGACGGCCATTCGTGCATGAATAATCTTTGCCATTTGCGTTACTAAAGTATTAAATGTAGCGAAATCGTTATTTATGTAATTGTGTCCATAATGATATATTAATGGTGCTATGTGGGAAAATTGTTCGTCTGGTTCTGCAGGTTTCTCAACCAATACTGCCCCTATACAAATTGATTGATATTATTAATAATTGTTTTCTATAATAGTATCAACTACATTATTATCATAATTAATAACAAACCAATTGTTCCTGGTATCGAAATTTGTCCTCGGTCAGGATCTAAGTCCACATAAATAGGTTTACGATCGTTGTCACCAGTTTTAGCCGCGTAATTAAGCAATATTCTGCATAATGTGGATTTTCCAGTGTTTTTTGAACCAACTACCATAGTAATTGGACCCCGACATTTTTGTTGTTCTGCTTTTTGCCGTAATTGTTCGAGCGATGCATGACATTTCAAATAAGACATCTACACATAAAACATATTGATTAGACAAATTATTGCAATGAACATGAATAAACTTGCAAGTGACAAATAATATACAAATCTACGAGAATTTTTTCCACTTAAAAATTTAATTTGTTTTTTTTTTGTCCACTACCTAATGAAATAAATCAACAATTATTTATTAATGATTTATTTTGTAACATACAAGAAAAAGAAAACCTTTAATAAAAAAAGGCAGAAGGGTAGAGTAAAGACTAATCCCTTTGCGGAAAATATTGAAGCATGATGTTTTGGCCCCTTTAACATACTATCATTGATTATAAATATTTTAGATGGCCCTAAGAGACATTTCAGTTCTGGATGTCAACACGGTTATCAATGAAAACGATACTACTAGCGCCCGTCCCATGTTGACGTCCAGAACTGAAATTTGTCTCGGTGAGCCGTCCATAATATTTATAATCAATGATATTATTTGATCGAAAACAGAACAGCATGATATAACTTTCTTGAATATTTATTTATATTTTTTGATCTATACATTACCATAGGCGTCACATTAGATATTGTGTATGTAAATCCTTTTTTTCCACACAATTTTAATATACATCCTTTCCATGTAAATATTGAAACGTATGAACCAAAATGAAATGTATAAGGTTTTCCTATCACTAGTATAGAACCAAATATTTCAGCCACTCCAGATTTCAACTAAAACAAAAGATAAATCATTTTTTACTATTGGTAACTGTTGACTGCTACTGAAATTTTACTAAATTGAATAAATTTAATGAGAAGAAATCTTTCTCTAAGTAAAATCTCTATTTCATTTAAGACATTGGATAAAAAATTAAAGATTTAGCAATTTTAAATTTATTGAGTTTCCAAGACTGTTGTATAAATTTAACGATCAGAGGTGTTCCTCTAAGCTGTACCTATATAATTAATTTTAACGCACTTGATTGCGTAACACCGTTATATTTTTCATTTTGTGTTTAAAATTGCTTAATCCCTGTTATGTTAACATTCAACTAAGTAATATATTAATATGTATAATATTACTCATAATAATGAAAATAAAACTAGGAAAACTGCAAATTATTTTGAACTATTTTTTGAAATTGTTTTATAGTAAATTTCTATTTTTGGGAAAACCAAATTAGGTACGTTAGTTGGCTAGGAAATAAGGCAGTAGTATCTAATATGCACTATTGCTGGTTTAGTTCTTGGCTACTGGTGACTCCATTCAGTTAAAAAGTCGCTATCACCCTCTCCATCAGCAGAATAACTAACAGTACTGGCAAGCAAATCAGTTAAGAAGCCATCTCCAAGGAAGAGGGGCAGTGATGGCCTTTAGTGGGCCAATAAGCTTTTTATAAAAAAAACTATGTTAACAAAAACTTGTATGCACCCACAAAAATATATGCGACTGTAATTAGCAACTTGTAATCGACTGTTAATAGTCAACACTGAATACACCCACTAAGATCAGTTTTTGATAAGTGGTGTACACTGCCATTTAATTGCCTAATATAAAAAAGTCGTTACACATTGTTTAAATATTTAAAATGGCATTAAACAAAAATTTAGAAAGTAAATTATAGAAATATATTACTTCTAGCAAGACAGTTTCATAAATATTTTCCACTTTAAACCGGAGTTCTTTGTCTGGTTTTAATATGAACAACTGTTCTCCAATTTTTTTCGGCATACTTGTACTTGTGCTGCACTAATATTGTACGATGTTGAAAGTATCAAAGCGACAATTACAAACTACTAATTAGGTACTTACTAGCGATTGTCCAGATACGCATACGCATACACTGGACAGTGTTTGCCATCTTTATCTTTATCAAAAACACAAACATGATTGGTTGATGAAACAAAAGTCAACAACATAAATTTAGCGTATTATAATATTTTAAATGTTTAATCACTTTAACCCTTGTATATTTTTCAATGTGTGTAACGCATAACGGATAACGATATGCGTTATTATTTATTGGCTATTGCCCGTACGCCGGACAGTGGGGGGGTGGGGTGTTCGTTGTAAGCCCCCACTACCGTTAAACGTCAAGTAATAACGCTCAACTGCGCATGTGTTACTCGCACGCGGCCGACTATGATTGGCGGTTAGTTTTAGAGCATGCGCACTAGAAATTTGTTACTTTAGAACTAAACGGATGACATGGTAAAAAAAAAAAAAAGAGGGTTTATGTCAGATACACTTTACGACAGACGCTGGCTATCCGTTCTAAATGATCTTAATAATAATATGTTTAACAGCTATTATTTATCGTTGATGAAATTAGCAACATATTGGCAATTCTCAAAACAGGGTCTGTAATGCTGTGTAATGTGTTGCCCGTCGCCAGAATGGCGAATCTAAAGGTTACCTACCGTATTTTGACTATTATTAATTAGGGACCACTTAACATTATTATAGTTTACCACATTACACAACGTTATTATTAGTATGATGTAAATTGTAAGTTTTTCTCGCCATTCTATAGACTGCTATTTCTTACATATATCACTTATCTGCAATTTGAAATGAGTCGTTTATTTATGAAAGGTGATAAGTCAAGACAATTTTGTTGTAAATGACTGTAATAAATATAAAGTTCTGTGGCTATAGAGGGATCATTTACTTTTGAAAATAGTCAAATTCGTTTGATAGTTCATTTTATTATGAGCAAAAATTCAATTAAATCAAATTGTGAAGTCGGGAAAAAAGTTCCTAATTATTGATTTATATATTTTAAAAGTCATAATAAATTATAATGGTAAAATAGTTTTGGTTTACACTACTCTAATGCTCGCAATACCGTTAATGATTTTGTCATTTTATTTATGAAACCAGTTAAAGAGGTAAATTATCCGCGAAAAATAGTTATTTTTAATTTTCCGAAAGTTTACCTGTTTGGACTAAACCCCTTTCATAAATTCAATTGTATGTATTTTGGTTTGCGGCACTGAAATTTTAAGGTTTTTTTTTAAATTTTGAGACGATATATAAATAATTCTTACTGCAAATGTGTACTTAATTATTAATTAGGACACTTAGGTATGTGCAGATTTACTTATTACAGTATAATCCCTTTGCTGGCGTTTGTAGATGTAGCTAGATAGAAAGCGGTTGTTTGTGATACGATTTTATAAAAATATAAACTTTATGACATATTTCACTAATAATATTTAATATTTTTAAATACAATTTTATTTTAAGTTCTTGTTACTGTTATGGCCACTACCCTTGGGCCTTATTATTAAACTAAACTAGCTATGAAGTATGAGCCATAAACTGTGAATATTAAAAGAAAATGATTGGAAAACGTATTCACAATGAATATGAATTTATGTAAGTAAAAGTTATTTAGATAGCTTAATACAATTAGTATTTAGTATTTTTTTTTGTGTTTAGCACAATAATACCAGCTTAGCATCGAAGCTAAAATTGTTTATGTAATAACAATTATTAATAAATTCGTTAGTTATAAGTTAGTAATAAATTAATAACTAACGAATTTTTAATATTAAATAACAGTGGAAACTTTTACCTACTTTTTAACATTATCCTGTTAATTATAACATCGTATAGGACCTAAATATATGATTATATAATGTATTTTTCTTTTGTCTGGTTGCTGTAATACCTATATATTTTGTCTGCATTTATAAAGTACTTTTTGAACTTAAAATTAATTTTCTACGTCGTGTATGTATACTATACTAAGATAATAACAAGCATAGATGGAAGAGAAATCTGTCAGGTGAGTTCCAAAACTTTAAACGCAGGAAAAAACAGTTTTATTTTAATACATTTATTACCGCTAGATGGTACTGCGGTATTGTAAAATGTATTATAAACTGTGTTAAGGCCCCTGGATACCGACCGTTTTTTTCAGCCAAAACACATCATTTTTTGTCCATCGCACAGGCTGAACCATTAATCCGATAAGCAATCTAAAAACAGTTATGAATTTGTCATGAAGTTTACTTAAGATCGGTCAGAGAACTTTTTTCAATTTTTAATTTTAACCCTTTACAAATTTAATTTTAAAATTTAAAATTTTATAAAATGTTCAAACGAGTTTTATGCGTAGTAAGAATAAGATATCAAAAAAGTACGCTGACCGATCTCAAGTAAACTTCATGACGAATTCAAATCTGTTTTCAGATTACTTATCGGATCACTGGTTCAGCCTGTGCGATGGACAAAAAATGTACTATTATATAAACTAAAATGGCTTTTACTCATAGACAAAATTATTTAAATTAAAAATAATACCATAAAGCTCATATAAATTAACCGGTAAATTAATTAACATGGTCGAAATTTAATGAAACCACTTTTTTCTTAAATATTGCCTATACAAAGCTCCTTAAAAATGGTCGGTATCCAGGGCCCTTAAATTCGATTACAGATAAACAACTCGATTAGAACATGCTTTATGTTATGTTATTTATGTCTAATTGCTTCACATTTTGTTTTCCTGCCTATTAATTTTTGATACATCGCAGCACCGATATGTTGACGCAACTTGCAAGTATTACTTATTGTCTATTGACAAACCTTGTAGTTAATAAAACTCTTTTTAAGAAGGCGGGCTGTACTTGGACTCGGATATGTAATAAATATTTCCGAAAAGGGTCGTACTGTCGGCAAAGTTGCTTCGAGAAAATCGTCCAAATGTATAATATTGTTTAAAATTTTTTCATAATTATTTCTTGTCATCCAAAATCGCTTGTATAATGATTTTGATTTTAGTCGACCGATGTTTTTTCTTAGCAGACTTGTTAAAAAATTCAATTTATCAAGACTCTTTGTTCCATTAGGTTGGCAACCCCGAATCGTATTTATGTGATCCATGGCAATTGGCAAGTATCGAATCAGCGTTTTTCTGTACGTCATTCTGTTTCATGTTTTATAATTTCTCGATTTATGTAAATTTCTTTCTTTCGAAATTCATTCAATAAGAACATTTATGTCAATGATTACATTAATACGTAACTTAATAAATTGTTTTAATAACAATATTTTTACACACAATTTAAAAACCGGAAAAATAACAAATTTGTTTCTGAATTTTTTGCAGGCCGCAGCACCGTATGTTGACGCAACTTGCAAGTATTACTTACCTATAGTTTACACTAGATTGTATTTAAAATCAATATTGTCATAATTTATTTTCAACGATTAGATAATTATTATTACATATATAATTTCATTTTTGTATTTTACTCGTACTTAAAATATTTAGATTTATAGAGAGCGTTGTCAATTGAGTACTTTGTGTTAAGCTTATGCCATTGTTGTACCTATATATATTATACCTGCCTTATAAGGTGTATATCACGATTGGCTGACACAGTAGCTTATATAAAACTTAGTAAATATGTCACAAGTCAAGACAAAATATTATGTTTTATTACAAGTATTCCCCTTTTTACACTGTAGTTTTCAGTTATCTGTTAGTCAACATATAAATATAAGGAATTTTTAAAATTATTTTTACTATAATGGTGTATTTATAAATAAATCTATTAACGAGTGAATAAAAGTAATTTTTCATTTTTATTTCACTTGAATATAGTCTATCAAGATCGGATTTACGATGTCACATTGTCTTAAAAATACCTAACAATTATATTATATATGTATTGATTAAATATGTCTTAAGAAGTCAACGTGTCTTTGAAGTATCATTTTGGAACAGCCTTTCTAGTTTCTAATCTATTTCAAGTTATTGATCTCATACGAGTTATGATCTAATGTGTCAAACATCAAAGAATTCCCGTTTGTCATAACTCATAATAGGTATGCTCTATAATTAGTCGATGATTTTATTTTCGTGCGTATAGTTAATAAAAAAATATATACTGAAATCTAAATAATTACTCATCTAATAGAGAATAGTCGTATTGGTAAACCTTATAGTTAAAACTCTTTTTAAGAAGGCGGGTAGTACTTGGACTCAGATCGTTAAAAGATTTCCGTTTAGTACTCGCTACTTATTTGTCAATACATTGGCGAAACGGCCTATACTTGGTTAAGTACGTAGCAAGACGTGCAACCAATTCATTGCGTGGGCTATACATGGTGAGTATACTAAAAGACACGCCGCCGGTAAGCACGCTACATTTGACTGTAAGGTAAACATTTTTCTGTAATTGTAGTAATTATAAGCGAAAATAAAATTACCATTGTGCGTTATTACTGATAACGCCATCCGGTCACCCATCCGGGATCAAGCAGCAACAGACACATCTTAACCTCAAGTGCCATGCGGCACCTGAGATGTCCACTGTGCCACACCTCCCGGTTTGTGTTAATAATTAATAAGTGTTATCACTTATTAATTATTTAGTCAGTTTCAAAATGGTCTGAACAAATACAATCGCAATTAAAAGTTTTCCACCTGGCATATTAAGGCTGTTCACTCAAAATTTTAGTTTTGATTTGTCGCCTACAGGGAATCAATAGAAATCAACTTACAAAATTATACTAAACAAACTTTCAAAATTAAAATAAATTTAAATTTACTTACGCAAAAAATGTAGTATTTTCATTAAAAAATGTATTTTTACAATTTTTTACTGAGCACTTGTAGTAAGGTTTTTCACCTTCACCTACACTATCACTGTCTTCTTTTAAATCTATTACATTTTCTTCTGCGTTATCGACGGAAATTTTCTTTACATTCGGGTATAGTTCACAAAAAAATAGGAGAGGCAATTGTATTATTATTAAGTATATAATTTATACTAGGTACCTAAAATGACTTAGTATATATAACAATTTTAGAAAAAATTAAGCTGTTAACCAGGTATCCATTAACCGTTATTTATTCGTTCAGTTCAAAATTATGTTCATGAACGTTAACTAGGAATAACGTTATAACTTTTTTTACCCCGAGAACGTTATACCGAAAAACATTTTAAATTTATTTGCTCAGAGAACGTTTAACAAAAAACGTTATAACAAAAAACA